AGAGATTATTTTTATTTTATTGTTTTTAAATATGTTTTTTATTAATTTTTAGAGAGAGAGGAAGAGGGATAGATAGATAGAAACATCGATGAGAGAGGAACATCATTGATCAGCTGCTTCCTGCACACCCCCTACTGGGGATTGAGCTCACAACCCCAGCATATGCCCTGACTGGGAATCAAACCAACAACCTTTTGGTTTCTGGGTCTATGCTAAACAGCTGAGCCACCCCAGCCAGGCTAGAGATGACTTTTAAAAATAAAAGATAAAAAAATGTCAAGAAACGAAGTAAGGAGGATAAACTAATGTTCTCTAGTTATGGGAAACCATCTCTTTTTTATGATTTTTGCATCTACCCAAGATTTTTCATAGCCTTTTCTGGATTTTTTTAATTTTTATATTATTAAATCTCATTTTTTTATTCTCTCCTCCTCTTTTTAAATCATTTTATCCTTTTGTTACAATTCATGGGTGATTTTCTTAAACTCTCTTTTAATTTTTCTATCAAAAATATGTTTTTAGTATCATTTTATTTTAACAAATTCTTGTTTTCCGAAGGCTTCTTTTTATAACACTCTATTTTGTGTGTATATGAAAAATCTTACTTTTCTGATTATTTTTAAAAATTTTATTTTCAAGTCAACCTTATTAAAGTGTAATTTAAATATAAAGTAATATTCTCACTTTAAATGCATTGTACTTAATAAACATATACCTATATACCACCACCCAAAAGACTCCTTGTGTACTAGGCTGGTGTGGTTCAGTGGTTGAGTGTCAACCTATGTACCAGGAGGTTATGGTTTGATTCCCAGTCAGAGAACATTCCTGGGTTGTGGGCTCTATCCTTAGTAGGAGGCATCCAGGAGCAGCCAATGGATGTCTCTCTCTCAATGTTTCTATCCCTCTGTCCCTCTCTCTTCCTCTCTGAAATCAATAAAATTATTTTTTAAAAAGACACCTTCTGTACCTTCCAAGTTATCCTAATCACTGACCTACTTTCTATCATCCTGAACTATCATGCCTGGTCTAGAATTTTATATAAATGGTTTCAAATAACATATACTCTTCAGCATTGTCTTCTTTCATAAGCATAATGTTTTTGAGATTCATCTTTGTTGTGTAAATCAGTAGTTGATTTCTTTTCATTGCTGAGTAGTAGTCCATCTCATAGATATACCACAATATTTATCTATTCACCTGTACATGGTTATTTTAGTTGCTTCCAATTTGGGTCTAGTATGACTAAAGCTTCTTTGATGTGCAAGTCTTTGTGTAGACATTTTAAAGAAATTCCATTAGGTAAATACCAACCCAGGAGCAGAATTCTAGATTGGGTTGGGGGTATGTTTGACTTTATAAGAAACATTTAAGAGTGTGATACCAAATCAAATTTGTGGGACCCCAGTGTATATGAGATGGGTTTGCTAAATTGTAGCCTTCACTGAAGAACTCGTCAGTATTTGTAGTTTACCACCCCTCCTCCCCTCTTGGCCAGTTAATGGCTCTCGAGATGAATCCTCCAATTCATTGCTACAGACAGTGTTTTATGAGCATGAATAAGAGAAGGTAACTCAAAAGGACTTGTATGCATGCAAATGGTCATGGCCAATGGACACAGACACTAGTGGGGTGAGGGCATGTGCTAGGGGATGGGAGTAGCCTGAGAGGGGTAAATGGGGGAAAAGGGAGACATTTGTAATACTATATGTAATTCTTTAAACAATAAAGAAAAAAAAGAGGGAAGGTAACTCAGTTGTATGAAATGGGGGAGAAAATACAGGGTGAGGGGAGTCTACTTGTATCTTACATAGATTTTTAGGTACATTTTCAGTTTTTAGGTCACTCATATTTCCACATGGAAAGTAGCAGGTAACACCAATTCATGAAGCTTTGGGGGGTTCTTAAGTGATAATCAGGTTGCTTCTTTTGTTTCCTCGATGCTGAATGTGATGAACAGTTTCTAAGGGCCCACAGAGTTACTAGCAGCTTTTGTGTCTGCTTTCTAAAATTCATGTCATTTTCCTGAATCCAGGCCTCCCCGGAGGACATTCTGTTCCATTGAAAGTGTGGGGCCCTGTTGCTTTCATTTTGCTAATGCTGAACCTGGTAGTGCTGGCTGGACTGGGAACCCTGATTGTAATGAGTAAGTTTCCACTTTTCTCAGCCTTTCTTCAGAGGCTGTCCCTTGGTTTTATCAGGAACATTACATTACTCTGATACATTATATAAACTTGAAAAATGAAAGATTTTAATAATTTGAAGGACTGCCAGGTAAACTAATATCAGTCTATCAAGAAAAGCCAGATTATGTAATGATACACAAAATAGATAAATTACCAAGCTTTCTGAATCTTCTGGAAGATCTTAGAGGCATGATCCCTGTCTTTCTAATTTCTTTCTTCAGTTCCGAGACTGGGGTTTAAATTATGGTTATATCTATTCAAGAACCTGAAATACATAATACATAGGCTCAGCAATATATTCTAATATCTCCTAATCTCAAAAGTGTGGTTTGCATTTTTATAAACTAAATACTGAATTACAGTCTTTTATTTTGAAATCTCTGCTTCAAATGGATCTTTTTGTTTTGCATTTAAATTTATTTGGGCATTTCCTTTAATAAGGAACTAGTGCTGCATTGAGTAACTTAAGTCATTTTTATCTCAATTAATTTTAATATTAAAAGTATGAAAGGTTGGTGTTCTATATGTATGTAGCTATTATTCTATTTTTTCCATTAAATTGTTAAATAACTATTTTGATATTAATATAATTTATTGGAAGGCTTTGTGTTAAAATCTAATTAACCTCTTGCTGTGAATTATAGATTACCATGAACTCTTCTCCAGCAACAGAACAACTTCTGACAGGCAACAAAACATAATAGAACAGCTGGAGAGAAATGTAATATTATACAGGGATATGTATAAAAATATCTCAAATGAGCACGTTGCTTTCAAAAACATGTTAGAAAATACATTAAAATTGTGGAAAAAAATTACCTCAAAATACGATGAAGGTGTAAAGAAGAAGGAAAATGGTGAGTGAAATCATTTATCTGTTTCATAGTCTCATCAATAACAGAGTTGTCTAATTTTCCCCAGCCTTTTCACTGTGTTCAAAATCTTTAAATATTTTTGAAATTAAAAAATCATGGAAATCTGATAACCATTTATAAATTCTTCTATTAAAAAAACACTTTCTGTCTTTCTTCATTTAGTTTATTTATGTGCTGTTTAACTATTATTTTTATCAAACTAATTTCTATCTATCTATCATCTATCTATCTATCTATCTATCTATCTATCTATCAATCAATCATCTATCTCTCTTGGGTTAGATTCAGTTTTCTTGAATCCCTTCTTTCTTCTTTTTCCTTTTTTTACACTCCCATTTATTTATGCTCCCATTTTAATGGACTTTACCTGGATATATAGGAAATAAATCTTCTGCATATTTGCATGTCTGAGAAGGTCCTTATATGGCTTCATATAAATTTAAAGGTTAAAAGGAGTTTCTTCAAGAATATTGAAAATGTTGCTTCATTGTCTCTAGCAAGCAATGTTGTTAATACGAAGTCTGTTCCCAGTGTGATTTTCATTCTATAAAAATGACCTGATTTTAGCTTTTAAAATGTTTTCTTCATTTTGGGGAGCTGAAGTTTTAAGATATTCTGGGTATGAGTTTTTTCTAATCATTTATTGGTGTGTATTATGTGGGTCTTCTCAATATGAAAGTTTATGTCTTTCAAATTTAGGGAAAATATGTGCTATTACTAGTAAGTTCATACTTTCTACCCCATTTCCTGTTCTTTTCATGACTTCTTTGCTTCAAATGTTAAGATTTGCAGATTGTCTTCTCTTTCTTTTTCTGTATTATTTTTTTTTTTACTATGAGAGATTGTCTAAACTTTTTTTTCAATCTTTCTATGATTATTATTTTGATAATCATATTTTTAACCTGATAAAACCTTGCATGATTCTTGAGAATTGTTTAATTGTTTTTTTTTTTAGCAGTCTGTTCTTACTTTTAAAGTCATCTAAATATATTACTCAGAGGAGTATTTTAAAATATAACTCTTGTCTTTCCTAAAAAATTTTTTTTGGGTGGTAGACAGGTTATTTGCTTTTTTCTTTTCCTTTTTTTTTTATCATGGTAATTCTCTCTCATGTTCTGGTGCTGTAATATACCTTATAATTCTTGCTTCTCTCTTCATACATGAGAAAGAAAGGGATCCTGGTTTGTGTTGACTATACTGCTGTTAAAAGAGGGTAGGTTTCTGTTAGATCTCTCTGGAGATGAAAAATCTACCTGGATATTTTAAGGGTGGAAGACCAGGCTGGAATGTATGAACAGACAACTTTTTTTTTTCAAATGAAGCTGGATATAAAGTGTGGCACTTACAGTCATAGCAGAAACCTAGGCTTTGCTAGATAGAGTATCCAATTTCTTCATAGAGGAACCACGCACTTCCCTCTGCTAAAAACCCTTTGCCTTCTCACTGATTTATCTCCTTTTCATTCTGCAGTCCTTCCTTTCTTACCTTCTTTTATTTAAAAAAATTGCCTACCACTTGGGTGAAGACCCTAAGAATATAAAGTTTTCTGTATAACAGTTTAGTAATTCTTTGCCTTGAGTAACTAATGATATGATAGAAAAAACAGATGAGTAAAGAGATAATTACAATCCAGTGTAATAAGTGCACGTACACATAAATATATAATGCAAAAAATAATATAGTTGGAGGGAATAGTCCAGACTGGGTTGGGGTACAATATTCAGTGCTGGAAGGGAAGGCATATTGAAATAAAAGTGATGAGCGATATAGCATGACACTCTCAGGAGAAGTTCAAGGTATTCAAAATAAGATTAATAAATAAAACTGGAGTGTCATTAGAGTTCCTATAGATAATGGAGAGGGTTTGGATTTTAACCTGGAAACAATAGAAAAACATTGTATAATTTAAAGCATGGTCTTATAGAAACACTAGAGGCCCAGTGCACAAATTTGTGCACGGGTGGGTCCGGCACCAATTGGGGCTGATTGGGGCGGGTACCTGTCGGGAGGAGAAGACAGTGGGAGGTTGGCCGGCCCACCCCATTTGGGGTGCTATCAGGGCCAGGCCGGCTGGGGGATTGGGCCATAGGTGATTGGCCAGCAGGCCCCTCCCCCTATTGGGGTGGAGGGGCGAATGGGGGCAGGGCCAGCCATGGGAAGAGGCTGTGGGTGGTTGGATGGCCAGCCCCACCCCCGATTGGTGTGTGGGGGAGCTGATCAGGGGCAGAGCTGGTTGGGGGGAGGTGTCACGGGTCGATCAGGGTGGTGGGGGCTGATCATGGGTGGGCTAGTTTTGGGGAGTGGCTGTGGACAGTGGGCCAGCCAGCCCTGCCCCAGAATTTGGTGGGGGAGGCTGATAGGGGGCCAGCAGCCTGGGGGAGGGACTATGGGTGGTTGGCTGGCCAACCCTGCCCCTGATTGGAGCGGGGGAGGGGGGCGGTAGGGGGCGGAGCTGGCTTGTGGA